TGTTAATCGTTTTATTTGTGTTTATTACTAGTTTACATTGTTTTTTTCGCATATTATTAGTTTACAAAGTAGATTCATGGAGTTTAATATATCTGTCAATCTAGTGACGAAGCGTAAGAGGAAGAGCGATCCTGAAAAATGAAAAAAAAAAAACGTCTAGAAACGACAAAGGTAAGTCTAATCATTGAACTCAATCATGTACTTAACATTTAATTTCTGTAACAAATTGTCAATGGGTGGCTGGAAGTGGTATATGTTAGAAGTTACTGTATATGTTCATCCAAGTTATGAATGATTTTTAAGTGATGAATCTTAGAAGTTGGCTGTAAAAACTTGTCCAGCTTAGTACTACTTGCTAAAGTTTGTTATAAAATTGGTAAATTCCTAACAAAAATTCTAACTATTGACTTAAATGTATAGGCTATTCATTGAATTAACTTAAGTTTAATTAATTCCTCCTTTTCTATCGTCATGCAGGTACTCAGCCAAAGGTCTTCTTCTGTACCCCACCTATCATTACCGAGTTGGATACCAGTGTCAGCTTTTAAAAATGTATGTTATCATAAAGTTTCACAAAGCCTTTTACTCCATTTCAGAAAAAAGCAAGCAAGATACGTTCATTTTGAAATACTTTCGGGCTGGCCCACACAACCCTCAAAGAAAGAAGCTTGAGCCTATAAAGGGGAAAAAAATCTTCCAATATTCGGTTGCAAACCACGCTGGTAACAATCTCAACGTTGGGATGCTTTCTCGAGGTATTGCAGCCTATTACTAAGCATAGAATTATAGGAGTGTTCCAAAAATTCAAGGATGCTGTATCTCATGTCCCAGCGGAAACCCAAGGCGGAAACCACAGGAAGTTAAGTTTGCTCCGAAAAAAGAAGAAGTGAAAAATTCATTGTGTAGTTTTCAGGCTATTGAATCGCATTATTTACATCACTCATCACGTATCTACCTACCATTAAAATGTTCAATTATGGTAAAGAAGAATCTGAGAAGGTTACTTAGGGATTTTTCAGGAAAATATTTTGCTCGATTTCAACATTGGATTCACTTATCCTAGCAGGGATAAATGTAGTACATCACTAGAATTACAAAACCTTATCAAAGTGGAAAAAACGGAGGAAGAAAAAAGGTGTCTAAAAATTAAAATGGATTTACACAAAAAATAGGCCCAAGCCTTCTTCCAACGCCTGCGAGAAAAACCACAAGATTGTTTTATTTTGAGTTTTGATTGTCAGGAGAAGCTTGTTTTTCCAAAAGTAACTGATCAAAGTGTGTACTATTCACGACAGTTTTACTGTTATAACCTTTCAGTAGTTAAAGGATTGTCAAACGAATCCCTGAATCCGAGTACTGTCTCAATTTATACCTAAACAGAAGACGGAGTAAAAATATCATATCATCCAACAAGGTTGCTTCCTGTATTCAATGAGTTGAGATCAGCTTATCTCTCAGGATATCACTCCATTCGTTTAGTGTCTGATGGTTGCGCCGGACAAAATAAGAATATAAATATTTTAACTATGTACTGCAAGTTTCTGGATAGCTGTGCTCCATTAAACATACGGAAAATTGAAACAGCCTTTCCTGTAACAGGGCACTGATTCCTTTCTGCCGACAGAGTATTTGGGTTGATAAAGAAAACATTAAAAAAATGAAATAATTGTGACAAAAGAAGAATATCATCAAATTTTAAAAAAATATGGTATGATTATTAGAACGGACTAAGTAACATTGGACTGGAAACAAGAAGCAAAACGTTTTAAAAACACAACGGCTCAACTTCATTTCAAAATTTTCACCTGCCGACGCATAGTTCTTCAGAAAACGAAATTGGGAAACATCGTTGTGAAAGGAAATATGGCTTTGACACTGGAAGAGAGAGGACAATTTGTAAGACCAACTACACTATTGGACAGATTAACCCAAAAGTTGACCCTAATTACAAAAAAAGTTAAGGACGTAGCAAAATTGCATGAAAAACATTTTGGAGTAAATTGGAGGGAGAATGGTACTTTGCAGTAGTACAAAAACATAATGCACGCAGAACCTGAAATATCGGCTGAATCTGACGATTCATGTGAGTGTGAAAATAATAATGCTGATTTTAATGGTGATCTTGTGTTAATTTCAATTTGACTGTTACTAAAGTTTAAATATTTTATAAGTGCGAATATTTTACTTTATATATTTTTAGTTAAATCGCTTTATAGGTAGGTACTAATGCAACTTGAATAAAAGATTTTAAAACAGAAATTTTAATTTAAAATATCTGATTCCCTATATGAATGTTATAATTATTAAATTTTAAGTTAGGTTCAAACCGAGGGTTCACTCTTTCAAATACAATTTTTTTTTTCAAAAAAATAGGTGTCCAAAAACGGACTCCTACCATCACATTTGGATCAAACATGGACATTTACCCATTTTTGTCCAAAAGCAGACATCTGTATTTTTAAATAATATTATTCTTACTTCTTCAGATGCCAAATCCACTAATGATGTTAGCGATCACAATATTCCATTAATTCTCTATTTCTTGCAATATGTATCAGATATGTATGTCGTTAAATCCCTGTCCATTGCCTTATGATTCGGAGCCAGGACATTTTCTTGCGTCCCATTTCTCTCTTGCCTTCAATTTTACCCATCGATTATAAGTTGGAGGAACTAGTATTTTTCATTTCGCATGATGTGACCTAGATACGCAGTTTCCTTTTCTTGATGGTTTCGAAGAGTGGCGTTCTTGGTTTATTCTTTTAAGGACATCTATATTTGTGATTTTCGCTGTCCATTGTATTTTTTAGGATACGGCGATAAAGCCACATTTCGAAGCTTTTAATCTGTTTATATCCCTCGTTTTGAGTGTCCAGCCTCTACGCCATATAGCAGCACTGACCATACGTTAGCACTTAGTAAACCTTAGTCTCAGTTGAAGATCAAACTCTGAACAAGTCAGTACTTTCTTGAATTTTACGAAAGCTTGTCGAGCTTGCTCAATGCGACATTTTACTTCCCTGTCCGATGCCCAGTCTTCAAAAGCCACGATCCCAGGTATTTAAATTTACTCACTCTTTCAATGGACTTAGTATTCAGTGTTAAAATAATATTATAAGATATAGAATGTCCATAAGATTACTTTTCAAGCCTTCACTAAAATTATAGGAACTGAGATTTTATTAAAAAGAAATAATAGCGTGATACAAAAAAACCAATTGTTTCAAATTTTCTGCATGACATTCCGTCTTTGATATGAAGCCCAAAATTATCATATTTAGTCCGATGGTTACAGTTAATAAAAACTAAGACAAAATATGTCGTGGTGGTGCTGTAATTAGAGATATTTTAAATCTTTAGTATATTTTAGTATAATATTTGTGCAATCCAGCCTACTGGAAAAAAAAATCGCAAAGTTTTCACAATTTATAGTAGGCCCTAAATAAGGCCCTCAGATAGTTGCAAATTTTTTTACGTATAAAGAAAGGCTCAAACTTTCAAACGCTTTTTGTAAAATTCAAATCGGTTCACTAGGAGAGCCTAGAAATTTTTTTAAAGTTTTAAAACATTTTTTAGACTTATAAACAAATTGAATAACTTTACGAGCTTTAAACATATCATTTTCGAATCAAAATATATTCTCAAATCAAATAATGTCATTATTATGATAAAACTGCAGAAATTAATTATTTTAAAAAGTTAGATTTTTACAAAAAAAAAATTCGTTCGCCTTTGTTTTAACAATTCAAATTATTTATTAACAATTTATAAATACATATTTGTTTACTAAAAGTAACAATATATAATAACAGTAATAATTTGAATTGTTAAAACAAAGGCGAACGATATTTTTTTTTTTTGTAAAAATCTAACTTTTTAAAATAATTAATTTCTGCAGTTTTATCATAATAATGACATTATTTGATTTGAAAATATATTTATTCGAAAATGATATGTTTAAAGCTCGTAAAGTTATTCAATTTGTTTATAGCCTAAAAATGTTTAAAACTTTAAAAAATATTCTAGGCTCTCCTAGTGAACCGATTTGAATTTTACAAAAAGCGTTTGGAAGTTTGAGCCTTCCTTTATATGTAAAAAAAATTGCAACTATCTGAGGGCCTTATTTAGGGCCTACTATAAATTTGAAAATTTGCGATTTTTTTCCAGTAGGCTGGATTGCAAAATTATTATGCAAAACCTATCCGACCGATCTTAAAAAATTTAGCACACGTTTTAAACATATTAAAAAGTTTTTCTAGGCGAATATGGAGCTTTGTAAGTCAAGTTTAAAAAGTCGAAAACATTTAAAGATTAACTTCATTTTTTGTACTTTTTTCCAATTATTGCTATTTTTTCAACAATAAACATTAAATTTTCAATTTCTAGCTAACGAAATATTGTGTAAAATTGAATAACGAAACTTTTAACTTCTTATAATTTTTTCTCTAGGATCAATATTTTCCGAAAATAAACGAAAATGGAGCAAAAAATGAGAAATTTTCAATTGTTTTCAGATTTTGTTAAATAAAAAATTTAGCACAGGGTTTGCGACTGGCGCATATCGTGATTATCGATATTGGGCCCATCCTGAAGGTATTCCAGCAAAAAAATAGCTTCCTATGGAAAATGTCCATTATGGTCTGAATTTTTACAGATTCCGCCTAGTCTACATGTAATCTATCAGTAAAAGATTCTAAACAATTCAACTTAAACACTGTACTTTAGAATATATACTTTCTTTTGCATCCCTGCAAAAATCAATAGAATAAGTACGGAAAAGATGGATGAATAGAAGAAACATTTTACAGAATGAGTCGCATTTAACCAAAGTAACATAAATGTTTACACACTCAAGTATCTTTTTAATATTATTTTCCTATCTATAAGTTCGGAAACATATATATATATATAGTATATATATATATATATATATATATAATATAATATATATATATATGTTTAAATTGTTTTTTTAAATTAAAAAATAAACTTGTACTTACCAATGAGTACCGCCATAATCTGTGGCCATTGAGTCTCCCCCCTGTACGCACTACCGGGAAAGAACTTCCTTACGACCATATTTGCAGCAGCTTCTACACACTACAGCTAGTACAACAACTATTATAACTAACTGTCACCGCTATTGTCCGATGAGCACTGAAAACTGGAGCTTTAAACATTTCTATTGTACAAAAACCATCGATGTCATTAGGCGAAATTCGTTATAATGCATTTAATTAATTTGGCAGCTAACTAGTTTATCGATGAAATTCGTATATTTTGTGTAGTGGTGGGAAAAACCGTGGTTTTAAGGAAAGTGTTAATAAACTTTATTTCCCTGGATGTAAGAGAATGCATTAATAGTTGTTCACCAAAACTTTTATTTACGAAAATTGTAGAATAACCACGAGTGTTAAAATTTTATAGTATGTTTAATAAACTTGTTAATTGGATCAGAAAAATTAGCAATAATAAGCCTTTTTCGTGGCACTCTTCGATACAGGTATCTAACTGATAAATTTCGTGATAACAATATGTAATACATAAAATATGCAAAAACTTAAACGTCATCTTTTATTTATAAACAAATAAACAATGTAAAATCTATATTTGATTTTAAATACTAAAAATAAAGAACGGTAAATTCTATCGTCGTTCAGATATCAAAAACTTGTTCTTAAAATTAGATTTTGGAAATCACCTAAAACCTCCCATAGTAGAAAATATAACTTTTAAACTGTATTTTTTTCTAAAATGTGGTAGTACCACGAAATGAATTATTTGTGACAGTGATTAAACTTGAAAAAAAAATTAAGGTAGATTTTTTTCGAAAAAAAAACGTGAGATACGAATTTTTGAAATTTAAATAGTATTTAATTTCAGGTCTTACGAGGTTTTGGTAGCATATTTTCAGCTCTCTTAAGCCTTTTTTGCACACAAAAAACAATATTACAGAAGAAAATTCAAATGTTTATTCTTTAAAGAAATGAAACAAACATGTAACATAAGCATAATAGTTCAGTTAAATTGTATTTTTGCTAGGAAAGTTTTGGGGTAGTTCTGATTTTTTCATTCCATATGTTTTTTGGGGTGCTTAATCCGAATCTGGGTTTGCGGACAAAATTTTGTGACGCAACATTAAAAAAAAAACAGAATAAACCGTTTTTTTTTTTCTTTTTTCGGGTTTTTTGCTTAAAACTCGAAAACTATCAACTTTTGGTAAATGGTCTGTTTACAGAAATTAAAGTACTTGAAATTTTCTACAAATACCAGTATTTAGTTTTTTTTTCAGACAAATCGTTTCGGTTTCTAGTGCGAGTTGAAAATTGTAAATTTTTAGCAGTTTATGCAAAACCCACTTTTTACATTTCAATATTTAATTTTTATAAATGCTGCCATTTGATAAATGTCACCTGGTTTTCCGCACAAGTAATTAAAAAGAAAAAAGGCAAAAATTATGCAAATTCAGTAGGTAGGTAAAACTCGTAACAAAATAAAACTTAAAATCTCGTTACTTATGATCATATATTATTATGATTATAAATTATAATATGCAAAATTTATATGAGCCGTTGTCTTTTGGAAGGCCCTGGCTGAGGTTCTTCGATAACGATGAGTCCTGGTTCTGGTTGTTCTGGAAAATAAAAGTTTAAAGTTAAGTCATTTATCAAGAAGATATGAAGATTGCAAAATAGATTGTGAGATTAAACATACCTTCCGCATCGTACTGAGGTTCTTCGATGGCATCGGGTCCTGGCTCAGGGTCTGATTGCTCCATCGTCAGCGTCGGGAGTCGTTCTCCTGGAAAATAAAAAGAGGAGAGACACATATCATATATCAAGGAGAGATGAATGACTACAAAATAACTTGTCAGATCCAACATACCTCTATCTCTTTCCTCAGTTTCTTCTACGTCTATGTCAGAGCTGTCTTCTGGGGGCTCAACATTGTTACACAGTCCTTCGCATGATGCGCATATTGGGGAACAATGGAGTCCCGCCTTCCTGCATCCACAATTGCGTTGACAGCCCTTTTCACATTTACATGAAATGTACCGGAGTAATGAGTTTGGTGCAGGGTCCAAAGTAGTTGGTACTGGCACAAGACCACTACTAGTTTTTTGCCATCCCCATTCACTTGGGTCTTTTTGTTGCTCGTTAGGTGTGGCTTGACCGGATAACCACTGCTGCACCTGATAGTAAACTCTCAGTAAATGTTCTCGTGCAGCAGCTTCAGTTGGGGGCAATGAGGAAATGTTGGTCTTATTTTTGAATGATGAAGATACGTATTGTTTATATCTTAAATCGTTTAGTTTTGCAATTGCAAATCTTTGTTCTTCTGCAGGACTTTAAGAAATTTCAGTTTCCCTTGATTAAACAATGCAGAAGTAGTACCACAACCACTCATCGCATTCAGGAATAAAATATGATCCAATAGGATTTTCTCAGCAGCCAGATAAGGGTTGTAGAGGCTTTGCGAAACCTTTCCTATTCCTGGCTTCAAAAAAAATACATTTTTTATATCAGGGCTACAAAGGCCAATCAAAATGACCAGTAGGTCGATATCTTCCCCCACCACTGTCACATGTTCATTTGACGGGGCCATCTCAAGAGCTGTTGTGATAATTAGGATATCAGCATCTTCCATAGCTTGCTTTGAATGAATTTTTACATCATGAAGTTTCTCCATTAACATAGATATAAACCGGCTCTTGTTTTTTGGGATTGCAAGAAAACTATCCTGCGACACAGTGGGCACCATCATTTCTGTAAATGATATTGCAGCAGATTGTTTTCTTTGTGCTTTTCTCAATTGTTCTAAACGCTTGGTGCTACCACAAGCCTCGTCGGTAGCCATTAAAAACGACAATAGTACTTGATTTGTAGTTTGATTTGACATATGATACATAACTGCTGCATATGTCTGACCTTTGCGCCATTTTACCCGGTGTAACAAAAAATCCCCGTCGATGACATATTTTGTATCGTTAATACAAATCTAAAAAGTGGGTTTTGCAGTCACACCGGTACCAATTGCCAATTTTCAACTTGCACTTGAGACCGAACGGTTCGTCTGTACAATAACCAAAATAGTGACATTTGTACAGAACTTTAAGTACTTTAATTTCTGTAAACAGACCATTTACTAAAAGTTAACAGTTTTCGAGTTTTAAGCAAAAAACCGGAAAAAAAGCAAAAAAAAACCGATTTCTTCTGGTTTTTTAAATGTTGCGTCACGAAATTTTGTCCGCAAACCTCAGATTCAGATTTAGCACCCCAAAACACATATGGAATGAAAAAATCAGAACTTCCCCAAAACTTTCCTACTAGTATTACTTTACAGTACAAATTTACTGAATCATAAAATAAAATAAAAACAACTATTTTCCATATTTTAAAAACAAAAGAAAGTTAGTGCTTCAAGGAGTCATTAAAACAAAGATAATCTGGGGTGAATAACGGTCTTAAGAGACTGCAGGTGATTAAATTTGTCTTCTGTAATGGGCAAATGGTCATTATACATTTTTCTTGCGATTCCTTCATTATTCACATTTTTGCGAACTGGCAAAAACTGCCACTCCTCGTCATAGTTTAGATTGAGTTGAACAGGCAAATCTCTGGAATACCTTAGAGCCCTCAGATTATTCACCCATGCATCTTCCACTTTTTCCTGGATGAATTAATGAATAATACTTAATTTCGGAATAGTCATTAAAAAATTGGTGATCAATGTTTTTAACGTTGTATATGGATTTTTGTAATTTTACGGGCCTCTTTAATTAGTTCCACATAATTGGATGGTGAATAAATTTTTTCTTCTTACTTTCAATGATGGAGTACGAGTATACTCGTTATGAGCAGTTGACTAGTTGACACTCCGCGATTATACTCGTCTGGAGCAGCGCACCCGTACAGGACCAATACACCAGCAGAAATTTTATTTTCAATTTCTAGTTCGGATTTTTCCGGATATCTGATTATGAAATAAGAGTTAACAAAGTGACAGACAGTTTTTATTGATCTTCTTCTTAGAGTGCCATATCCCTACGGAACGTCGGCGACTACCATGCTTATAATATTATTATACTGATCTCGGTCTTGGGCTACGTGTAGCAATTGGTCCGCTGTCAAACCTGTCCACTGCCGCAAATTCCTCAACCAAGAGAGTTTCTTCCGTCCTATCCATTTCTTTCCTTCGATTTTACCGTTGAGAATTAGCCGAAGGAACTCATATCTTGGTCCTCTGATTATATGTCCAAGATATTCTAGTTTACGCCTCTTAATAATATTTAATAGAGTTCGTTGATGTCCCATTCTTCGAAGAACTTCTTCGTTTCTGGTTCTGCTAGTCCATGGAATTTTTAGTATCCTTCGATACAACCACATCTCAAACGCCTCGATTTTATTCATGATATCGGCGTTTAAAGTCCAAGTTTCACATCCATACAAAAGTACAGACCACACGTAACATCTTGTAAACTTTTCACGGATTTCCAAATTTAATGAGTTATTGGATAATAGAGCTTGAATTTTTGAAATGAGTTTCTTGCCTGTTCAATTCTACATCGAATTTCGAAGGATGGATCTAGATTTTGGGTAATCCAACATCCAAGGTATTTGAATCTCTGAACTCTCTGCAGCGGTTGTTGGTTTAATATCAGTTGGGTTGCGCCGATATCCACTTTACTGGTCACCATGTATTTAGTTTTATCGATATTTATCGACAGTCCCCAATTTGTGCATTCCATGTCAACTCTATTGATTAGCTCCTGCAGATCGTCGATGTTTTCAGCTAGAATCACAGTATCGTCGGCGTACCGTATATTGTTAATTATTTCTCCTCCTATGATAATTCCTTTTTGATCTTTTAAAGCTTCCCTAAATAGATTCTCAGAATACACGTTAAAGAGGGTGGGAGATAGTATACAGCCTTGTCTTACGCCTCGTTCAATACTGATTGGCTTTGATTCTCTGTTGTTGGTATTAATAATGACTTGAAAAAGACTGTAAAGACTTTGTACACACTTCTAAATAGGTCTAACTGGTAACTGGGTTTTGTATAAGTTTCAATAAAAATGC